AGCAGAAGCTCTCTGGGCGGTTTATACAATCCATAAAAATGATAAAAATACAAGGAAGATATTAAGATAATTAATCACTAACGCAGACCAGCGCAGGGGCTAGGTGCACCATCTGCCCCATATTGTCCACCTTGGCTGGCATCACATCTGGTGTTATAAGTGTTGATGCTGGGGAGGAAAGGAGGGAGAGATGAAGAGGAGCTGGTCAGGATCAGGGAGCTACAGCACACCAGGGCAGAGACACAGAGACCAGTTCCTTTTTGGGTGGTGGCCTTAGGGGGCAGCCAAAGAACAAGCCAAAGAGCAATGCCTGTTTGGGTTCCATTTGTGCTTACATCCGCACCCTCCACAGAGTGGCACAGGTTCTGCTGCCCCCACATAGCAGCCTCCCTCCATGTTGGTAGTGAAAGTGCCACCACCTGGGGAGAGGAAGGAAGGGAAGCGGTTGCTGCGCCTCTTGCAGCCATGGTGCAGAGGAGATGTTGAGGCGGGACCACGCTGGCCATGCCTTTGCAGCTAGCTGGGCAGGCTTGGGCACTTGATTTTCTTGGGGGTGGAGGTTATAGTCAAATTTATATTATGCATTATATCATTGTATTAAGTATTCCTGTTTTGATTTGGGCATTGCTTTTGCAATTAATATTGCATTTTGTATTTTTGTTTTGATTATAGTATTGTATTTTGTAATTGAATTTGTATTCCTACTGTTTTATTTTATTGTAAGCTGCCCAGAGAGCCCTATGGGCTATGGGGCAGCATACAAATGTAACAATGAAGAAGTTGCTTTCTGAAAGCAGGATGCTATAAAACTTCGAAGAGAGTAAAAATGCTAATTTTACTAGATCTCCACCTCTTAGATTATTGTTATGTGTTGTCCAGTTATCTCCGACTTAAGGCGACCCTATAAATGAATGACCTCCAAGAGGTCCTGTCCTTCACAGCCCTATTCAGTTCTTGCAAACTCAAGGTTGTGGTTTCCTTTCTGGAGTCAATCCATATCCTATTTGGTCTTCCTCTTTTTCTGCCTTTGACTTTTCCTTTTACGATTGTCTTCTCCAGTGAGTCTTTTCTTCTTGTGTCTAAAGTACAACAGGTTTGGGGGGTTGTTGTTTTTTTTTCATTTTTGCTTCCAGGAAAAGTTCTGGCTTGATTTATCTAGGATCCACTTGTACGTCTTTCAGTGAGTTCAAGGTATTCACAAAGCTGTCCTCCAGCACCATGTTTCAAATCATCCATTTTCCTCCTGTCAGCTTTCTTCACAGTCCAGCTTTCACACCTATACAATCATGTGGATGATCTTGCCTTTGGTCTCCAGTGAGACTTTATTACACTTGATTATCTCTTCTAGTTCCTTCATTGCTGCTCTTCCCAGTCTCAGTCTTCCTCTAAATCCTTGGTTGCAGCCTCCATTTGAATTGATGACTGAGCCAAGGTATGCAAAACCTTTCATAATTTCAATTTTTCCATTGTTGACCTTAAAGTTGTGCAATTCTGTAGTTATGATTTTTTTTTAGCGTTCAGCTCACTTTTGTTGCCAGCGGTTTAGACATTAATGGCTGTGTGTTGAGTTATTTTGAGGGGACAGCAAATTTACACTGTTATACAAGCTGTATACTCACTACTTTACATTGTAGCAAAGTGTCATTTCTTCAGGGTTGTCACATGAAAAGATATAATAAAATATTTACAAAATGTGAGGGGTGTACTCCTGTGATATACTGTAGGTTACATAACAGGGCAATCAAGTGCTGAGGAGTGCCCATTTCTTTCAGGATATTCTTAGCTTCTTGTTTTCAACACAGTCGATGGATTAGCTATAGTCCATAAAGAGTAGACTGATCTGAAATTCTTTTGTGCAATCCAGAAGCTAATGTATATTTGCAATATGATCTCAAGTGACTCTTTCTTTCCAGGATTCAGCTTGAAAGCCAAGCATTTCTTGCTCCATGCAAGGAAAAATTCTTTGTTGCAATTCCTCGAATATCACTTCGCTTGCGTGGGAAATTAGTGAAATGGTTCTGTAGTCGCTGCACTCTTTTGCATCTTTTTGCTGGGGAATTGAAATGTATATTTAACATTTCCAGTATGTGGGTGTTCTTCGATGCAGCCAATGTAGCTATTGGCATCCTATCTCTTCTGGGTGCCTTCTTTCTTTCAAGTGCTTTCAGAGTACCTTTCATTTTGCTTTCTAATATTACAGGTGCTTCCTCATAGGATTCCTCTTCAAAGACGTCTGTCATGTTTCTCTCTTTTCTGTATAGTTCTTCTGTATATATTTTTTGGCTTCTCTTTATTTTATCCTAGTCAGATAGTATGTTCCCCTGTTAGTGTTTCAGTATTCCTAATCTAGGTTAGATTGCTTGGATCTTCTAGAAGAGGCCTCTTGTTTTGTCTTAAGAGTTAATCTTTTCTATTCTTTGCACTGGGCACTACAATAATTCCTTTATGTCTGTGAGTGAGAATTGATGAAAAATTGCATTCAGGATTCTGAACCTGTTGCTGTCACCTTTTGCTTCCCGCCTGCTGTTAGCAACTGTGACCATTTCTTCTGTCACCCATCAAGGATTTTTATTTCTTGTTGCTAGGGGAATTGCCTTTTAGCATTCTTCCTTAATATCATCTCTGATGTTAGTCCACAGTTCTTCTGGCTCATGGCCAGTTGAGTTCAGTAATGCAAATATGTTCTTTAATTCCTCAGGACTCTTATTTAAGTTGTATTCTGGCACTATGCTTCTGTTCATTATCTTTCTCAGCTTTACTGTGATATTCGATAATAAATGTTCATGGTCATTATCACAGCCAATCCCTGGTCTTGGTTTGGGAGTGACATTGCTCTTCTCTATCTGTGACTTCCAATTATATAGTTTGTTTGATTTCTGCATTGGTCATATGGTGATGTCCATGTATAGAATTGCCTGTATAGTTGTTTGAAGTATATTTTTGTAATAAATAGATTGTGATGTCACAGGATTCTATGAGTAGTTCTCCTGCTTCATTTCTGATCCCTGGGCAAAATTCCCTGGATGCTAAGTTCATATTCTAAGGTCCTTTTTGGTGCCTTTTCCAAATTAAATCTAGCAAGTGACTACTATAGGAAGAGCCTTATCAGCACTGGCACCCCATTAATGAACACCCTCAGAAAAAATGTTTGCCTGATGTCTGCTTTGTGGTCATTTTGGCACCAGCTGAGAGCCAAATGTTTTTGTAATTCAAATAATCTTGAATTATTTTTTGTACTTTTTAGCTCTCTTGCACTGCTGGTATTCTGATTTTAATTATTATTTTACTGAGTTTTAAACCACATGTTTTCAGTATAGTCAAATAGTATATAGAAAATTTTACAGCTTTTTCAAGTAGATGTTTGATTCTGATTTAGATGCAATGTTCATGCTTTGTGTTTGTATTTTATGGAGGGGGGATTAACTTGTAAACCACCCGAGAACTCTCATTATTGGGTAATAAATAATATTGAAAATAAGGAACTAAACTGGTTTCTAATTATAACAATTTGAATTTTTGAAAATGAACAGTATTCATAATTATTGTTTATTGTAACAATAAGTTACCATAAGGTACAATTATTGTAACATGTTCTACATGGGGCTGCCCTTAAAGATGGTTCGAATACTTCAGTTGGTTCAGAACAGAGCCATCAGATTGCTGTCAGGGACCAGTCGTTATTCTCATATAACACCAGTCCTCTATAAGCTTCACTGGCTTCCAGTTGAAGCTCGGGCCTAATTTAAGGTGCTGGTATTGACCTATGAAGCCCTAAGTGGCTTGGGACCAGGATACCTAAAGGAATGTCTTTTTCCCTGCATGCCCATCCGCCCCTTAAGATCTGCAGCAGAGGCCCTGCTCCAGGAACCCTCCTTGAAGGAGGTTAGGAGAGAACATACTCAAAGGAGGGCCTTCTTTGTGGTGGCGCCCTGGCTATGGAATGCGCTCCCCAGAGAGGTCCTCCTGGCGCCAATGTTATATGCTTTTCGGCACCAGGTCAAGCCCTTTTTATTCTTCCACACTTTTAATGTTTAATATTTTAACTATGTTTTATCCTCAGTCGTGGATTATTTTGTCTTATTTGGGTGTATATGTATAAATTGGATTTTGACCTGTAAGCCGTCCAGAGATCCGCAATCTAAAAATACCCAAATAAATAAAATAACTAATAAAAATGCTTTTAACTGAGTTGTGGATGCTCCTTTTTTGTTACATATATTTTACATTATTTAGCCTTCTATTCTGTCTGTATCTCTGGCTGCAGTCTACCAGCCATTTCCTTGACAGTAATTCTCATTTAGATTAAAGGTCTGTCTGATGGTGGCTGAACAGCTTATTACAAAACCAGAAACACAAGAATTAGCCCCTGGAAAAAGGAGACAATTTGTCATGTTGTAGTCTGTGCAACACTCCTTTGGCTGATGCAAGTGAGATACTTTGGCCTGAACTGTGAGCTATTGAAGATTGGCAAAATTCCTGTATAATTTGTAAAGATCAAACGTGTTGAATTAGCACATCTCAGTTCCAAACAAGTACCTGAGGTGCATATGATGCAAGTGAAAGTAAATCCTGAATGCACCAAGTTATATACAGTTTTGGCCTTGATGGTAGTTAAATGAGCCATGAGAATGTATTAAGATGATCCATCTTGAGCCATTTGTTATTGGGCTATATTTTCAACAAAAGCATTTTAAAAAAATAGAAAACCGTAGAAACCAAGGTTTCAGAAGTCCTCAGAAGAACACTGTGAATTTCTCATTTTTATCAAACTTTGATAAGCTTTTAATTCTGATGTACCATGGTAACTAAAATCTTATAAATGTAAGACATTTCTGATCACTCTGGTACATTATTTGATTACCTTGTTTCTGTCTGCATTTCTCCTACACAATTCAGGTTTGGAGGACTATAATATAGCTTTTGTTTGATAAATCTGTTATATTGTCAGTAAATCGTTTAAGTCTAAAACACATTTTTCTTCTGGTTGTATATTTATTCAGGTCGTCTGGTAGGTGCTCTGGATGCTGTGCTTGACTCCAATGCACGTGTTGCCCCTTTTCGAATTTTACTTCAAGTGCCAGGATCACCTGTTTACTCTGCCATAGCATGCGGTGAGTTACTGAATGGATCAGAAGTTTACTGGACCATAGCCACTGGTGAGTTGCATACCACACAGAAACCCAAATCTGAGCATGCTGTCAAAGAATCCTGCATGTCAAAGAAGCTGAAGGTAACCCAAATGAATAACACTCTTGGTGTGGATAAAGGCTTATTTAACAACCTGGATATAACTTGTAGCATTTCTGGATCTGGGTAATACAAAGACTTGTTTACAAACATTAGATGTGCCCAAGGCATTCAATCACGAGAAGCACTACCTTATTCATTCATTCATTTTCTATATTGCCCAATAGTGGAAGCTCTCTGGGCAGTTTACAACAGCACATTAAAACTACATTCTAAAATATAAAAACATCATTAAAAGCTTATCATACAAAATTTTAAACCACATTTAAAACTGATACAAAAATCATAATAACTTACAAACCTTAGGACTTGTTTAGCAACTAACAAGCCTCTGTAAAACTGATTGAATACCATGCAGCCTTTACCTCGTGCTGCAAAGATAGTTAGGTTAGCACCAGGTATGCTTCAGTGGGAAGCTCGTTCCATGACTGGGGAGCCATTGTCCCATTACTATCTTTCCATCTTTTATCCTGATAATTTTTGTAACAATTACAAAAGCCTATAGTTTTCTTGCCGATGTGGTATCTTTGTATGGGCAGGAGAATATTTTATATGAAGGAGCATTTCAACATTCATCCCCCCTTCATTGTCCCATAATTGGAGATGGTTATTCCACCATCAGATGCATCACATGTGCTTCTGCAGTAGCTCTAAAGCTGTAATGTATAATGCTTTGCACATTTTCAAAATGGCTGCTAGTATTTTCCAGTAGATTATATCTGGCTTGAGAGTGCCCTAGAAATCTCTGCATCCACAAACCCTTGGTATTTCTTGGAAGACCAACCAAGGCTGCAGGAGTGTTTTGGCAGCACTGCCCAGAGACTATCACACAGAGCCTGCTGTTAAGATTCCTTTGTGCAGAAAGCTTTTGGTTACCAGAATCACAGTTTTCAGTCTGAGGTTTACAATTTAGTTCCTGACTTTCCTTCTGCAAATGGAAGGGTGTCTTCCATTCACGGAAAGTCTTATGATCTTACTGGAGGTTCTGCTGGTGCAAGGGAGGAAGTGACTTTCATAATTTCTTCCCTTTGAGGTCACTCTTTTACTGTTCCAGAGGATCTGTCAATCCACTGATGCAGATTCTTTTGAGATGCATGCTGCAGGGTGAATGGGAAAATTATGAAAGCTCCCCCACCCCTTTTTACTTTTGGGGACATCCTCCAAACATGCTGACAGAATGCCCTGCTTGGTGGAAGGAAACTCCTGGCCTGACATTTGTAATAATGCTCACACAGAGAAAGGTTTGTTAGGTATTGGATTTCCTTTTTATAATAATCACCTGAGTCCTTTGATTAGCAGTGTACAATAATAGTTGCTAATGTAATAGCTGCTTCTTTGCTTTATGCAGGGAATCCTAACTCCTTGGTTTTGAGAAAACAGCTTGTCTTACCACCTTTTGTGTACTAGCATGACTCAATTTCTTTACTAAATAAGCATTTGGAAACTAAATAATAGTTTGGTCGCTTTGTCTGTTGTACAAGAGAGTATTTCCTCCATCTTTTTCCTCAACATGTGCTCCCTTTGCGTGTAGTTCTTCTATGTTAAATTCCATCACACTTCCCAAGTCACTCTATTGTTCTGTTCAATCCTTTCTTCTGACACTTGAAAACCAGGGAGTTATTTCATTAGATAAGAAAATGATAAAATACTTTATTTAGCTAGTGGGATGGTCTTTGCAGGATCAATGTTGTATAGCTTATTTGCAGCTACATAAAGAGAAGTTAATAAAATATTGTGGAGAGAAAAAACATAAATTATTTAGATTTATTTATATGGCATGCTGCCAGTAGTAGCATTGAAACAATTTTTTAGGTTTGATGATAACAGTCAGGAAGACAACAGGTGGACACTTTCTCCCCACCAGAGGAATTGATTTTTGCATATTGTTTCTTTAACCTTGTAGAAAGTGAAGGGCAAAGTACTGAAATTCTCTTGCACTTACTTCCAGAGAGAAAAATATACAGCAGTGCAGTTTTGACAGTGCGTACTCAAGATTCTTAGGATCTCTTCCTCTAGTCAGTACTTTGATGCTTGATTGTATAAGGTCAGTTATGCACATGTGCAGAAGTCACTTTATATCTCTTTAAAATAAAAGTGGTAAACCAGAAAGGACCTGTGCTTCTGCTTACATGTATTATTAAGGGACACATGGTGACTTTTTACACATGTAGCATGTCAGTAACAGAAAGCTCACATCTGGTGTCCTGTGTTCTAGTATTTTTGTCAAACTATAAAGAATATAAATATTACAAGAGGCACCATGAAGATAGCCTAGTAAATAATGATCCTTGAACCAATGTCATGATGTGAACATTGCTGTCTCTCTTCTCTTATCCTGTCTTGGTCCTTATATTCATGAGAGTGATCATCTATCTCTGTGTCTGCATCCCACTCTGTGTAATGTTGATGTTTTATGCCTTCTGTTCCCATTCTTCATTTCACAGACTAAAATATCCATATTCAATCTGCACTTTGCTCATGGCATGTGATTTTACTTGCACTGCATGTAGAAAACTGCATGCTCTAAATCCCAAGGAGCTTCCTTGTACATTAAGATAGGAAAGGAAAACAGAAGATTTGATTAAAAGGTGCTTGTGGAAATGAGTTCAAAGGAAAAGGAGAACAAGGAACAAAAAATAGTCAGAGAAAAGTGCTGAAATCTTACTTCATAAAGTGAAAAGGAATTGAGTGGGAGCCTGCAGATGTTGTTCATAGAAATATATAAACCAACCCATTGTTTTTCAGGGAGGCAAGACCCTGCTTCATATACTTAAATTTATCTGAATTTAAATTTATGTTTGTCATATCTACTTAAAGCAGTTTACAATACAAAAGCAAGCAAGCAATAAAGTGTTACTAATACTAAATGTATAAATAAACATCTGACGTATCCAGGTATCCATTTTTATGTTACTGTTGAACAGTTGCCATTTTACATTGAGCTTAACGGTGATCAAGAATAAGCCCTTCTCATCCATTCCTATAGTGCCTCTCATATCCATTATACACTTGTTCTCTTCTTCACTAAAGGGCCAGAGCATCATTAATGCAGGTATAAATCAGTATGAAACTTGGGTTGCTCCCCCAATTTCCCTTCTTTTCTAGATAGCAGCCTTCACATATAAAGCTGATGGATGAGAGATAAAGCAGTACTTTTCATGTGCAGGCTGCTGAAACTTAAATTCAGTTTACTGTTTTGTTAGCAAGCCCAACTATAGCAGATTAAGTGCCACAGCTCCTAGAAATAATATTCAAGTGTCCATCTTATTTTTCGAAAAATAAGATTTATTTTTAAGGCCATTTGTATGAATGTGTGCCTGAACAGTTGTTATCTTGATTAATAATGTTTATCAAGATCTGTCACGAAGCCTTCCTGTTGAGGAAGTTAACTCTTGGAAATTATCCCTGACAGTTGGCTTTCTTTGTGGGAAACCTAGGAGAGGAAAGTGGAAAAATTATTTAGCTATGTTTATCATCAACTGTATGAGCCAACATGCAGTATCCTTAATGGTTACAATACCCAGCTTTGATTATGTTTATCTGACTCAGTCCCTGGCTGTTTTCTGCTCTTTCTCTTTTCTTTTAATTGTAGAAAAGGATAGGAAAGGTGGCTTGACTGATGCCTTTTCCTTTTTCAGTCACCCTCTTGCATTCATTCTCTTTCTTACTGGCATTTGGCTACTCTTGTATATTCCTTTGTGCCACAGTATAGGAATTACAATGACTGGGTTCACACAAATATGGCAACCCATTGTGGGTGATAAATCCTGGTGAGCTGTTAGTATGAAACTCCAGCAGGATGGCTTGTTTGGGAGATGAACCCAGAATTAGTTGTTCTGTCACCCGAACATGGGTGGCTAACTCCATCATGGATAGCTGAAATTGTCTAGCAAGCCACAAGAGTGAACCTTTTGCCACTGTTGCTGAGATCTGGGCCACAGACAACATCAACTGCCTCACAATTGCCCCCACCATAATTGGAAGCCCTTTGTGGATATTGTGTCTTGTTTTCCTTTCTTTCCTTTTTTGGTGATGAGTTTGGCAGGAACAGATATAGCCATGAGGTTTGTTTCTATCCATGTCAAAACCCGCATTCAAATAATAAGTCTGAGTTTTAGCAGCTGTCAAAACTTCCTGCTCCCATACATGGGGTGGCTCACATTTTTCTGCTTTCCTGAGCACATGGGGAAGGTGGAAGACACTGAAACAGTCAGATTCAAACCTCAAAACTAGAGGTTCTTCCTGCAAAGGGGTTATCTATTTGCCACTCCATTTCAATAGCTAATGTTCTCTTTCAGGTTCCCTTTTCACTTGACAGTTCACTGTTTGCCAGCTGTCAAAGAGGAAATGAAGCAACAAATTAACTTCTTTTGTAGGATTGCTTTTACAATATCGAAGGATATTGTCTCCTGTACTTTGCCAGAAGATGGTATCTATCTCATTTGGGATAGTTGCAGTTGCAGACTTGAACAACTCATAACTACTGACAAAAATTTTTTTTAAAAAACTAAAAATAAATAAATAAATAAATCTGCACAAATCTTGGGTTTCCAAAAAGCCCACAATGGGAGAAACTGTGGCAGACTTGTAACAGCTGCTCTAGTCTGCCATCAGCAGCTGTCACTTTGGAGACCACAGAAATCAGTTTCTGAAAACAAAAGGGGAACCAAGCCATCGCTGTCGCAACAGTGGGAAAAGGAAAAGACAGATGCTGCCACAGAGTCCTCTGAGATACCTCCAGGAGAGCAAAGGGGAAAAATGAGTGAGGGGCATTGTTTGTCACTACTACCGTAGGTTGTTTCCTGAACAGCCTGCACAAGTAATTTATTTGCAAGGGTGGGTTTATGTGTCATGCGAACTCACCCATTGTTTCCTTGAATTTATGAAGAGTAGCTACTCTCTTGCCCTTTGCTGAAGCTGTGTAGGGCTTGTGCATTCAACATGGGATACATTGATTATTTCCAAGGTTATGAATTTGGCATTGTTTAAATTTAACAGTTTCACCTTCGATTTATTTACCCACATGTACCTTCTATTTAGTTACCCTTTTTATTCAAACATCATTTTAATTGCTAATATTATTTGCTTATTTTATTCTTTGGCCAGGGCGACTTATTTTATATTGTTAATTCGTTTTATATTTTTAGTGTATTATATTTTAATTGATGTTTTGTGAGCCGCCCTGAGGCTTCGGCGAATGGGACGGCATAGAAATTTTATTTATTTATTTATAAATAAATAAATGTACTAAGCCAAATTCTGTTTGCGTACTATTAGTTTGAGTGCTACACATTTCAGTTAATGTGAAAAGTGAGTAACAAGGGAGAAACAGTTTTTCCTAGAGTTCTTTTGCTCACGTTTTCCCATTTTAGTATCAGATTTTTCATATCATAGAGACATTTTACATGAGACATATCTGTACAGACACAGGTGGTGTGGTTTTCAAATACTATAGTGGAATATACCATTGCAAACTGAAGGTGAGGGACCATTTTTTTAATTGTTCCCCTATATGATAGTAAGCACAATAGGAAAAGAATGACCTGGCCTGTCTTTCCTCCTGATTTGCTAGCTGGTTTAACTTGCAGGGAGATTCTCTGTGTGCTTGTTCTTTAACACAGTGAGTATATCAGTCTCTTTCCCTCTGTAGCATAAACTGATGCAGACCTCAGTAAATCAGAGTCTGAAATTAACTGAGGAGTTGTCACTTCAGGGATCTGTTTAGTGCTTTGCTCTGACGGTTGTCTGAGCTGAAGGCAAAATGGTGCTGTTGCTTGAACTAAATCTACTTTTGTTTCAAATTGTCAGGGTGGGGAAGGCATGCCTTTAATCATGTATAAATGGTAGTGTGAGTAGATGAGGTGTATCAGTGCTTTACTGTGCTCTGCATAAGTAATATCTTGGTTACAAAAAAATTGCAGTAACAAGTGCTAGCTTCAGCAATGAAATAATAGATTCTCTTGCCCTACTTACTTTGATTTATATTGTAGTTTATATCTTCAAAAGGCTTTAAAAGCAAACTTGAAACTAAAAATACTAAAAGAAAAATAATGGATTGCTTTGGGATGAAGTGTGTTACTGAAACTTCGATTTGAATTTGAATTAACTTGCAGCCTACCCATTTTATGTTTGTTATTTTTTCCTTTTAAATTAGAAACAGCTTTCTCACAATTGTATCACTCTTTGTTCTCTTCCTTTCCTTTTAGGTGCCACAACGGAGGAGATAAATCATCACTGGGAGTGGCTGGAACAAAATCTTCTGCATACTTTGCCTGTGTTTGACAATAAAGAAGATATTGTTAGTTTTGTCAGAGGTAAAATAAAGGTAGGAGTTTATCCTGTTTTCATCCTTTCCACTGCATTTAAAAGAAATGGTATTGTAGAGCAGAATTGTCTGTTGCTTCTGGGTAGCTTTTAGAAACAAAAATGTATAGTTGATATTTAGCCTTAAGAATCAGTGGCTGCACATTCTTGAACTTTCCCCGGTTGTCTCACTTTCACTTGTATTGCTTCATCTCCTCCCAGTTTTCTCACCTACATGAGGTTTGTCATCTTCAGTAGTCTCTATCAGTATTATGAACAACCTGCACTTAATTTGTTGTTCATTGTATCAAGCTATTCAACTGCTTTCTCCTTTACTTGATCTTCCAAACGTAGTCTTCAGTCTCCTATACAGAGCTTTATGCAAATCTTCACAGGGATTATTACTGGGTATCTAATAGTTAGAAAATGCTTAAGTGAAAACCAGCCTTCCTAACTTGGTGCCTTCTGCAGGTGTGGCCTTGAATAATTCCTAGCCAGCATGACTAATGGTCATGTTGGCTAGGGATTATGGGTTTTGTGGTCCATCACATCAAGGGGGAACTAAGTTGGAAATTGCTGCTGAAAACCTGTAATAGATTGCACTGCTAAGCCATTATGTAATCATCCACAAGAAGGGACCACTACTTGTGTTTGGAGGTATAAAGAGGCAGATTCTATAATTAAGTGTTTTAACACTTGATATTTTCACCTCATTTGAGAGCCAGTGTGGTGTAGTGGTTAAGAGCATGGGACTGGGACTCAGAGGATCTGGGTTCTAGTCCCTGCTCAGCCATGGAGTCAACTGGGTGACTTTGGGCCAGTCACAGACTCTCAGCCCAACCTACCTCACAGGGTTGTTGCTGTGGGGATGGAGGAGGAGAATGATGTAAGCTGCCTTGAGCCCTTTGTAGGAAAAAGGCAGGATATAAATCACTATATATATATATATATATATATATATATAATAAAATAAAATAAAATTGCAGTGGCATTCTTGTCATTAGTTTTCCTCAGTAACAAAGACATACACCACACTCTCTTTTCTCCCCCACAGGATTGTTGCAAGTTTTTATTCTGTGCTTTTCATAAACATAATTTACATAATTTAGAATTTCTTAATTCTGGCCATGGTAAATTCTGGTATCATATGTGCCCAGAGGTCTAGCGCAACCATGGGATGAAGGTGCCAAGTTGCCTTGAGTACAGACAAATGAGAAGCTACCTCTTCAGGAATCTGCCCCTGCAAACAATCCCAAATTAGTTTGGTTAGGGTTAGGCAGGTTTTAGTTAAATGAAAATCTTTATTTTTTCTCCCTCCCACAGGATCAGCCCATCTGATCTGCTCTCTTTGACAAAAACCTGTATTTTAGAGAGAGCAGCGGAGGCAACTAGGCTGGTATTAGCTTGAGAGTGTTCTCACAGAAAGCTGGATAGGCAGCCAGGAAAGGGCTGGACCAATCTGGTTTTTGTCTGGAAAGAATCTTTCTCTGTCCTACCTGACCAGTCTGGCTGAACCAAGTGGCCACATCGGTGATGGCAGCAGTACAGCAATGGTGCTGAAGAGCTGTGGGTAGAACAGTGTAGGGATGATCTCTACCCCATACCCTTGCCCCACCGCTGCTGCCTCGACCTTGGTTAAGTGGGGTAACGGTGAATAGGAGAGCAGAAGAAACAAAGGACTGTTAATATCCATCAAACAGCAATACCTGTTGTTAGATAACAACTGTAAATCATTAGTTGCTTATAATTATTAAGTTGCATGTGGACACCCATACTACATTAACGTGTCATTCAATTAGGCATTAATAGCAGAAGAGACCAGCAGTAAGCTTGCGGAGCAAGAGGAGGATCCTGAGAAGTTCAGAGAAGCACTAGTAAAATTTGAGACCAGATTTAGCTTCCCTGAAGCAGAGAAACTGATTACCTATTATTCATGTTGCTGCTGGAAGGGAAAAGTTCCTCGGCAAGGATGGCTTTACCTGAGCATCAATCACCTCTCTTTCTATTCCTTTTTTCTGGGCAAGGAATGTAAGTATGAGTGTGAAATACTGTATTTCTTTTGTCCCTATACTTAGTTTTCAAATTGCTGAATAGGGATCTCTAAATTAAGCAAAGATGGAAAAGATCTGTATTTTATCTTAATGGCTTAATGAATGATATCAACAAGTTTCATGTTAGCAGGCACATTATAATAAGACATTTATTTAACTGTATGCTCTCATCTAATAGAGGTGTTGCACTATTTTCTGCAAGCTTCGGCTTGGGGAACTTCAAGGGCTTATAAAAATCAATTTCAGAGAAAAAAGAAACAACTTAGAATTCTGTCTTAAAATTCAAGATGGAGAAACATTGGTGGCTAGTCTTACCAGCCCTAATAGTCATGAAAAGAGCTTACTTGCTGTTCATGTATTTACTTAGGAGTCCTGTAGCAGTGGGAGCAACTTGGAATGGGCAGAGGAAGAAGGTCTGTTCTTTCCTCTTTCTTGGCCAACCAAGGTCAGGCCATGGCTCTTAGAACTTTCATCCTTCCCAGAGGCCACTGCCATTGCAGATACAGAGGATGGGAGAAAGGACAGACTTTCATTCTTCCCAGTTATTGTCCCTGCTGCTGCTGGACAATAAGGAGTAAAGAGAAGGGGTGGTTTTAGAGACTGGAAGGCAGAAGATGCCATAATTACAGCTGGTAGCAGAGGCAGATTAATTTTCCAAGGCGCTCTGTTCTCTTTTTATTCATCAGAACAGCTGTTTGTAACTATTACATTCTAGGCCTAGCCTTAATTTGAATTTCCTGGAAATAGAATGGATTGTTTTTCTTTATTGTGCCATTCAACAAGAACTGAAATCATTGCATACAGAAGTTAGCCTTTTGCATTCATTCTGAAATTTGCATTCAGAGGGTGCAGAGGGTTCAGTTGCCACATGGCTTGCTTGAGGCAGTATTGTAGAGTACTGTAGTACATGTGCAACTTTGCAACTACAGTGCCATAATTTTATGTACACTTCATTGAAACAAAGTCCCAGTGAATTCAGAACTTAGTTTTAAGAAGACTGGTCTGCAGATGTGATAAATTCTGAAATTTGTATTTACTTAAATAGATCTGTTTGTGTATCTGTAATTTCAGTAAAACTTATCATTCCCTGGGTTGATGTCCAGAAGTTGGAAAGAACCTCTAATATCTTTATGACTGAAATTATCCGCATCACCACTCAAAGTAAAGAACGTGATTTCTCCATGTTCCTTAATATTGATGAGACATTCAGGATAATGGAACAGTTGGCAGATGTAACTCTCCGCAGGCTACTGGATAATGAGATCTTTGAATTGGATCCAGGGCTACAAGATCCTACTCAGATCACAAAGAGGTAAATAGTGAGCATGTTTTGTGGTTGTTTATCATGCAGTAAAAGAATAAGTGGCAGTTGCCTTAAGTGCTACCTTAGTTTCATTAGTTCTATGAAGTCTAAATAAAGATCATTTGGAAGCGGTCAGGGAACAAAAGACAAAAATGATGCTTGAATTTTCCATTATTAACCAATTGTTTGAGACAGACAGTCTTTCAGATGTTTCTTTAATGGGTTGAGAAAGAATCTTTACTTTGCAAAAGATCTGTTTTGAGGTATGTCTTGTACAGCATCACACTTCATAAGCAACACATTACTTTCCTTTTTATCATGTAATATCTTGCCTTTCTGGTAAACAACAATGCCATCTATTTGCATGTTTTTGTTCATCATTAATTCTTCTTCTTTGTGGTCTTGGTGTATCACATATAAGGGTTCTGCTAATACACAGAGGTTTGTCCTCAGCATTTTAGAATGAAGAAAATTTTTCACAGGAAGCGCTTCTGCTCTTTACTGTGAACATGCAATTGTTGAATCCTACAGAGCAATTGGCTGCTGCTTCTGTTTTATTGATGAGGAAATGGATGCGACTTGGCCAAGTCTACTTAGTAAATCTGTAGTGGGTGGGATTTTAACACAGATCTCCGAAATCTTTTTTTCCTACTAACTGCTTATTAATTAGTAGAATAACGGATTATAGCTAACTCTCTGACTTGCTAATGTTAAAAAGTCAACACTACTTTGATTATCATGGTTGACTTAAACCTAATTCACACTAAATTAGTATCTTAACTGTACTGCTATAGACAGGAGGTTGGTGCTCATATGAAAGGATGTGTCTCCAGTTCCATATGGAAATTCCCACAGCCTAAAACATTATATGTTAAGTAGCCTAGCTTTAAGCCTACTTGGTAGGGGTTTTTTTAATGGACTGAATGTTTTGTATGAAAGTGCATTCAATTATGTATCATCTGCATTCTGAAGCAGTACAGCCAAGACATAGGTTTATTCCCCAGGAAAAGTAAAGTTGGTGGGACAATGACACCCATGTTTATTTGTTTATCTGTCTGTTCTTTAGTTGCATAGAATGGGAAGATACAGGTCTTATTCTTAAATCAAAATGGGCAAGTTGCTGAGTAGAACCAAACCCTATATATATTGTAACTTGCTTGGCAGATTCCTTCTCCTTTTCTAGCCCCACTTCCCCTCACATGGGGAGAAAAATCTAGTGGTTATCAGTGATCAGAAAATGGGCATCCCTTTAGCCAGAGTTTGCAGGACTGGATCTTGCCAACCTTGGCCATGTCACAGCCATGCAGAGATCTGTACCTCTTTCTGAAAAGTAGAAAACAAAATTGGCTGGTGTTTGATGATGCCATGGCAAGGGTGGGGCTTTGGGCAGGGCCTCTCACAATCAGGGTATTGTTTGGCTCACTGGCTTGATCTAGGACAGGGGTATCCAAACTTTTTGCAAGAAGGGCCAGATTTGGAGAGGTGAAAATGTGTGGGGGCCGACCATTCAGCCTGACATTCTTTGAACCATTAACATTAAATGCAAACGAACTATTTTATGAAAGACTAAACAAATAATTTAACTGCACTAATGTGAAGGGAGATCCTGAGATCTCGACTGCATTATATAGGCCAGGTCTGGCTCAAAAACAGTGGTTTTGATGCACAAGATGTCATGCAGGTGAAAGTCACTTAGTCTCGTCCTCACACGGTTCTTGTTAATGTTCATAACCAAGAATGTCTTCTCGCACAAGTATGTCGAACCAAACAAGCTCAGCATTTTCTTAGCAAACATTCGAATCTCTTGAACCTGTCTTTATCCAACTGGTGGTAAAAGTTGACAAGAGGGAGCTGTTGGTGCCGACTGCGACACTCGGCGTCACACTGCAGCTCAATGAGCTCCAGCTGCAGGTGGTCTGGAGCGTCATCAGGGTCCACAGAGAAAGGAGATGAAAAAAGCGTGATCTCCTTTTCAATAGCTGCAAAATCCCGAAAGCGCTGTTGAAACTCCTCAGCCAGAGATGAGACGTCTGCTTCATACTTCCTTATTTGCGCACTCATATTGTTCTGTGGAAAACTGGTCATTATTTCCTGCATCGATGGGAAATGTGTGGTATTGGGCTGTGTTTGTGACAGGTGCCTTTGGAAAAGTTTCATAGCATGATCATATTTCAGATGTTTGAAACAGAGAACTTGTTGGTGAGTAATACAGTGGAGTTTTATAGCTTTGCCTCCTTCTTCGCTGACTTTGTTACAGACTAGGGTTGATAATCCACTTCGCTCGCCAGCCATGGCAGGTGCGCCATCCGTAATAATCGCAGTGACTTTATTCCACGGTAGTTTCATGTCATCTACGGTGGAACAAACAGAAACAAATAAATCTGTTCCTCTTGTTTGGTCCTTAAGGCTCTGGAGGTCAAGTAGCTCTTCACTCACGTTCATGTCATTGTCCACTCCTCTCAAAAAAATCAATAACTGAGCGGTGTCAGATGCATCCGTGCTTTCGTCACAGGCTAACGAAAAAAAGTCAAACTCCACTCCTTTTGCCTCTAACTGTCTCTTAATATCAGATGGAACCTCTTCAGTTCTCCGTACCACAGTGTTACGAGCCAGGCAAACATTGGCAAACTCTTGCTTCTTCTCAGGGCAAATTTTCTCCACCATTTTCATCATGCAGTCTTTAATAAATTCACCCTCAGTAAAAGGTTTGCAGTGCTTGGCAGTCAGCGTTGCCACCTCGTAGCTCGCCTTTGTGGCATTTTCATTTGACTCACAGGCTCTTGTGAAAAAGCGCTGCTGTGCCGTTAAAGCAGCTTCCAGTTCCTTCCATTTTTTGCCACATTCGTTCCCAGTTAGCTTGTTGTAGTTAGCATGTTTCGGCTGGTAGTGCCTCTTCATATAGAATTCCTTGAAAACAGCCACAGTCTCTTGGCAAATTAGGCAGACACAGTTGTTTCGTATTTCAGTGGAAAAAATACTCCAATTTCCACTTGTCCTGGAAGCGGCGGCCCTCGCTGTCAACTGTCCTTATTTTAGTTACAGTCGCCATTTTAGAAATGGGCACACAAGCCTTGTGTCACAAGGGTCACGTGGCGAGAGTGCTGACTCAGGTCTACTGCCATCTTCTGGTGAAATATAACCACCAGCCTTGAAGGAGCAGGGGACAGCTGCGGGAACCGCTGTGCGGTGAAGGGAAAAACGCCAGCTGGCGGGGATGAGTGACAGGCTGTGCAGGCGGGGAGAAGAGACTGCAGGCTGCTCGAAATTTGAAAACGGGCCGCAATTGGCCCCCAGGATGGACTTTGGACATGCCTGATCTAGGAGGAAAATCAATTCCAAGACAAAAATAGGTGCCTGTCCCTGGTTTAGCCATTCACACTAGCACCAGGAGCAAATAGGTTGCTTGAACTAGGAACACTTTCAGTATTGTTTTGGCCTACTGGCTTTTCTTTTTTATATATGCAGAATTTATTCTGATCACTCTTATTAAAATTAAAGTAAGATGGCAGAGGGCAGTGGGTGCAGCATAGGTTGTGGGTGCTTCCAGATGGAGAGCCCTAGCACTTGCAGTCCATAGGCACTGTCCCGCTCTTCTTCCTCAGCAGATTGTCTCATTACTGCTCCTCATTGTGTCTTCTTCCTCAGATTTTTTTTTCTGTTAAAGAACAACTTGGGAGAAGCTGTGGGAAAACATGGGATGTTTACAAATGGAAGATTACATCTATATCCTCCATAGAATTCTGTGTATGAGGCAGGGTGATCGTAGGATAAAGCCTTGTCTGGCAGCAGCTGCTGAATTAAAAACCATTGATATTAAGCATTTTGGTGGATTTTTCTCAGTACAGCAACACATTTTAGTAGTATGCATCGAACTTGTACCTTAAAGCTCAAAGAATATCACAACTCATATATAAAGGTTTTCACTAAGCATTTCTTGCCTCTGTTGAACCCTATTGAAAAGATTTATTTGTATTAAATAAATGCATTTAGATGCCTATGTACACATTTTTAATAACGAGAAAGCACAGCATTCATTGCTCATTGTGTTGCCTTTCCATGCATGTGAATTTTTGAAATAACTTTTGTGTGCATTTGAAGGTTGATAAACTCACTTTCTCTCCCATTTTGGTAATGCTGCTTCAAAGCAATTAGTTCTCCTCTGTTTTGGTCAGAATAGAATCATATTTTTGTGCTTAGTTACAACAGCAGATCATTGCATGCCTTATCTGAGTTTTACTCTGTTAGAAAACTTGTATCATCTATACTATCTGGCCCTCTTTGGTTTTCATTGTTTATCTTTTAACAAAACAGAGAAGCTGTGTCTTAAGTGACCTTGTTTGAGAAGTCTGTTCTGTCTTGCAATTTTAATCAGTTCTAAAACTTTTGTTTTTACTAAATAAAATGTTGCTCCAAATATTAGGCTGTTTGTCAGCAATGAAAAAGATGTCCTAAATTCTTAAACAACTCAAGCTAGTTTCTGTTGTCAAGTAAAGTATAGATGTCCAAGGGCACTCCTTGGATTTTTTTTAGCCCACACTTTGCATTCTTTCCATAGAACAGAAGCTTTTTTTCCTTAAAGTGAACAATGCTTGAAAGTAAACCAGTGCCTTGTGCTGTGAAGAAAGAAATGTTTAATTTCTCATAAGGGTTCGTATTTGTTACATTGCTTCAAAGGTATAGAATGACTTCTCAGTCATACAGGTCAGAAGCAAAGTATGGTGGCTAGAAATAGATTATGGCACTTGTTTGGACTAACTGCAGCTACAGTAAATATATCAGCTTGAAGTTTCCAAAGGCATACAAAATACCATTAGCTGTTAAACTGAGACTCAGTCCACACAAGATTAAAGTACAATCAATGGTACATCTGCCCAGATTATTGATTTTCAGCCTGTTCTGAGAAGGTTGCAGGGATACTCCTTGTCCCAGCACTGTCACTAGAGGCACAAGGTGGACTTGGTGGCATGGAACACCTTTTCTCAGGTACACCAATTACATCCTTGTCTGGACAAGATTAGCCTAGCTACAGCTACCATGTACTGATAACACAGGTTAGAAGGGGCTGCCTTTGAAAGCAATGGTATGAGCATTCAGAACCCTAAATGGCTTCAGTTCTGGTTAGCTGATGGATCATCTTCTCCCATACATACTTGCCTGGACCATGGAAATCATCCTTGGTGGTCTTGCAGTAAGAGCCCCTGCCAAGGCAAGTCTGGTTGGTGTCTACCAAGAAGAAATCCTCTGTTGTGGCACTGCAGCTATGGGATGAACTACCCAGGGAGGCTTTGCCTGCCACCTGCACTGTACTCTTTTCATTGCCAGGTAAAGACCTTCCTATTACCCAGGAATTTTAGTTTCAGTCGGTTTTAAGGCCTGCACTGTATTTTAAATCATTGTACTGCAGCTCAGTCTTACTCTGTTTTTATTTCTGTTTTTAAATGGTTAGAAGTACACTTCTAATGGTTAGAAGTTAGAAGTACACTTCTAAAAGGTTTATACTGTTTTTATGCGGTATTTCATGATTTTGAATTGTTGCTAACTGTCCAAGGAACTTTGGCTATTTGCTGTTTGTCCTGAGATTTTTAGTCTTATAAAAATGTAAGTGATAAATAAATAATGCTGAAGCTTAATACCAAAGTTAGCTGTGTCACTATTGATAATATCAGATCAAATATCTACTTCATCTTCTCCTGTAAAGTGTCAAAGAAAGAGTTTGTATCCAAATTCTTTCCGGCACACAAACCAGTTTGGTTCTTTGGCAAAAATGTCAAGCTTTGCGAATTCCCTTTTTCTTTTTTGTTCTTGTTCTGCCAAGTATCTTTACAGAGCTATTGCTCAGAACAGTAAAGAATGGGGGTAAATGCCTGCCTGCATAGCTATACATTGAGCTAGAGTCACCCGTGCTAAACTGGAAAGAAACAGTTCTGTAGTCAGATGGGCGACAACATCTGGAAGTGGAGCGGAGGGTTGGAACTGGTTGCCTTACAGTCCTCTTTCAACTATACTTCTTTTTGTGTTCTACATAAGAGTAACTTTTTTGTGTAAAAACATACAAGCCATTTATTAAAAATGATAGGTAAGCATTGCCTACTATGCTGTTTATAGTTAAAAGTGGTTATCTTGTCAATTCTCTATATACAGATTAAGGGTTGAATTCATACTTAGTCAGTAGACCCACTGAAAACATTGGAACTTAAGTTGGTCCTCACTCAAATCCCATTAATTTCAAAGACCTTAGTTTAAGTATGGCTAAATCTAGAAGCATTCCTCACTGACATCCATTTATTGAGTTCCTTTGATTTGTTTGTTACATTGTGTAATCTATGTTCATTGTATTGGTACCAAAATATTAAAATTGTGGTGTTACTGTTGTCTTTCAATTAGAGCCAATCCTAATACAACAATTTTATTTTCAGATGCAAGCAGTTTACCTTGACGTAAGTTTGAATCTTGAAATAAATGTTGTTCTCCCTTTCTCTAACAGGGATCTTGAATCTAGAGCACAAAATGAGTACTTCAGAGCCTTCTTCAGGCTACCTAAGGAAGAAAAGCTTCATGAAGTTGAGGATTGTTCCCTGTGGACTCCCTTTAGCCGTTGTCACACAGTTGGAAAGCTGTTTGCCTCCAATAGCTATATCTGTTTCGCAAGCAAAGAAGACGGGTGCTGCAATGTTCTTATTCCACTTATAGAGGTTTGTTTGTTTCTTTCCCACTACTATCTTTCAGAACTGCATTAGATCAGCTCAGCTGCAGATCTGCAGACTTTCAAAAATCAGTGTTTCCCTTTGTTTTGTAGCTTGGCTCTAGTAGAAATAAATCAAGCAGTGGGGGCGGGGGGACACTTGTGGATCAGAAGTGGAGAGGCTGTAGTGGCCATGTGTGGAATGAAAGTTGTAGTCAATCCTGCACAAGGCTGAGAGGATTAGTTGAACAATGCACAATGCTTAAGAAAAGTTACTAAGTTGGTTAAAATACTGCGTGGGGATGAAGGGCTCCTTTGAGTAGAAGAAAATGCTATCTGGTTATCCCAAGCAGTTCAGCTTACTCTGCCTATACTGCAAGTAATGTTCAATGGTTATGTGACATTTAACTGTCAAATCAGGGTTTGCTTATTAAAAATAATTGACTTCTTTCAGTTAAGAAATAATAATTATAAAAAGCTCTACAAAACATGTTGACTATAAACTTTACCAGGAGTTAATGTGAACACACTGTAAACATTTTTAATTCAGACAAATTACTCTTTTGCATGTATTAGCCAGTTTACCATACTCCAGTAGACTTTTTCTCGTTTTCAGGGCATGCTAATGGATGAAGTGAGATTTCTAAAACATGGTTGTGAGGATTGAATTAAGGGATTATAGTTATTTGGGGCTGTTTATCACAGAATGCAAGTGTGTGCTCTTCTTCATATAGACTGGGATCCAAAGAGCTCAGCACTGATGTAGGTTTAGGCCATTGGGATTTCCAATTTTTAAATGGCAGACCACCCATGCATTATCAAACTACACTAGACTCTCGGTTAACCAGAACTCAAGCAACCAGCAAAAGAATGAAGAAATAATACTTTAAATAAACATCAAAATAAAAGCAATTTCCAGCAGAAATGTAAGTTTAAACTTGGGGTGCCACTCAGCATGCAGCACTGTAAGCCCACGTGTTTGTCTCCTGCTCTGGGCTATGTTGGAATCTATTGTTGTTCAGATTGTGTTATTCAGATTGTGTGTTCTGAAACAGGTCTTAGGTAAGTGTAAACACATAGTGCTTTCCCTCAGGGGGAAGATGGAAATATGCAAGAGGCTTGAGAAAGGTGAGAGTAGTGCAGTGATCATGGAGAAATTCAATGTTGGTTTGTGAGCAATGAAATTAAGGCTCAGATGAGAGAAGGTTGTCTTTGCCATAATTAGCTTTTAGTTATTGAATTTCAATATTATTATCAAGTCAGTGCAGAAGGTAGAGTAAGGTAGGGTAGGGTAGGATAGGATAGGGCAGTGATGGCGAATCTTTTAGAGACCAAGTGCCCAAACTGCAACCCAAACCCACTTATTTATCGTAAAGTGCCAAGACTACAATAAAACCTGAAAACTGAGGTTTTAGTTCAGAAAAAACACCTCACAATCTGTCTAAGAAAATGAATATATATCCTTAGCAGCGCACTGACCAGCCATGTGAAAGCTCAGATGAGTGGCGCCTGATGAGTTGCAGCCTGTGACATGATCATCTGGTGCTGCTACTCCTTTCCGAGGATGAACATGGCCCCCTATGTGTGCTGTTATCTGATGCTGAGCTACTGGGGCGATTTGGCTCGCATGCTGACAGAGGGCTCTGCATGTCTGCTGCAGCATGCATGCCATAGGTTTGCCACCACTGGCCTAATCCTACCCTAGTGCACTCCCCTAACCTAATATAGGGCTAAAATACTATTGATAATAATGCAATTTTGAAAACACCTTCCTTGAGTAGCTTTTTCTGCACAGCTCAACATTTCTGCCCATTTTAAACACATTCCAACCATCAAAACCATGCCAGGACACCTCGTTTTTCTAACCCTAACCCAGTGATGGTGAACCTTTTAGAGACCGAGTGCCCAGTCTGCAACCCAAAACCCTCTTATGTATTGCAAAGTGCCAACGCTGCAATAAAAACTTAAAACTGAGGTTTTAGTTTAGAAAAAACAACTCCCAGCAGTCCAAACAAATACACACACACACACACATCATTGGCAGTGCACTAACCAGCCATTCGAAAGCTTGAACAAATCACGGCTAATGAGTCGTGGCTTGTGACATCATCAGCTGGCACCACTACTCCTTTCTTATCATGCGCACAGCCCCAGTGTATGCTGTTATCTGATGCTCGGCTGCTGGGGCGACTTGGCTTGCGTGATGACAGGGAGGGCTCTGCCTGCCCAATGTGGCATGCGTGCCATAGGTTCGCCACCACTGGGAGAGGAAATTAGGCCTATTTTTAATAGTAACTCTCAAGCAACCAGAAATACATTTATCCAGTATCTACCAATCCCCATGGGTGTTGGTTCACTGAGAGTCCACTGTACTTTTCAAACTTTTCTGAGTTCAAGTTCATAAGGAAAGGGTGCTTGAAGATGACATGTCTGAACTTTTTCTGTACGTATGGGACTAGGTTGGTGTTTTTTTGCAGCCAAAATATGCAGCTTGTCATATTAAGGGCTATCACAAATCATCTGAAGAGAAGCACAGATGCTTAGGTACTCCAAAGTGTATTTGCTGCTTCCAGTATATCTGCTATGCTGTTTTCTGTTTGTATGCTAATGACACATTAGTATCAGGACATTTATCTGAATGTTTTGGATAAATATTTTGTGTATTTTTTTTAAACACACAGGTGGCTAGTATTGAGAAAATGGAAGACACTAGTCTTCTTCCCAATCCCATCATTATTAGCATCAAAAGCAAGATGGCCTTTCAGTTCATTGAGCTGAAGGACAGGGATACCTTGGTGGAAAACCTGCTTCTGAGACTGAAGCAAGTGAAGGCCAAAAACCCAGCTCTCCGCAACAATGTGAAAAGCAAGGACACGGTATTAAATGTTTGACCTGTTTCAACTGCATACAGACTGTATTTTGCTAATACTTTTTAAACTAGTAAAAGGCTTATTGGTAATATAAACCTAATGGTAGCTTAATTACTTTAAGATAGGAGTGGGGAATGCGCAGCCCTCCATATGCTGGATTACAAGTCCCATCAGTCATATTGCACAGTGAAGGATGATAAGAGTTGTAGTCCAACAGCATCTGGAAGTCCACATTTTCCCCATCCTTTAAGTTAAAGAGTAAGTGTGTGCACACGCATGCATGTATAGTACTTTTGAACTGGTTAGACTTGAAATGCAAGTCCAGCTTCCCATCCTCTTACAGCTAGAGGAAAGAGTGCAATAGCCTTTGAAGAGGTAATGATTTGAGGTTGAAAGTTCTTTTTCTTCTAGTATTGTGTACGTGCTTATCCACTGCATTGATGTACAACTATAAAACTAACACACTTTCAGTTAAAGAACACCTAACTTTCTGCATAGAGAAGCTGCTATTCTGGAATTAGTTTAATATGTAATTTGTTTATAAAAGAAAACAGAAAAGTTCAATATACATAATTGAAAACTATATCTTGAGACATGGCAAGATAAGCTTGAACTTACAGAAGGAGTGAATATTACTCATTTTGTGTAGATTAGAGTCTATTGATGTGTTCTATCCTTTGTTAAGCTGCTTTCAGTCATCTCTGGGTCCTTCCTATTTGAAAGCTGGAAAAATGTAGTCTGCTGCTATTTCAGTAATACTTAGTTGTTACTAAATTAGCTGTATTAGTCTTCTTCAGCAGAAACAGTACAGAGTCTTGCAGCATCCTAAAGGCTAGTACATTTATTCTGGCATAAATTTTTGTGGACTATTTTCCATTTGTAGTCCTTGAAAGGTGATGTCAAACTCACTTTGCTTGTCTTTAAGGTGGTATATGGCTCTTCACAGTGCAGCTTTCACATTGGTTTTGTTCCTTTTTGCTTTTTCCTGTGTGTGACAGGACTCTCTTTCAACACATGCTGACCATGAATATGGAGAGTTAAGGATAGTAGCTTCACAGATCAATGACAGCTGTGAAAATGACAAGAACAGCAGGCACTTGCTGAATGCAGAAGCACTGAGTTCGGCATTTCATCCTTCTGGAATAGATGGCCTGGACTTTAGGATGGTATGTAAAGCGATGCTTTTAGCTCTGGGGAGTTTTTACCGCATACCATAACATAATCTATTAGCTCAGCAGCCCACCCTGTATTTTCTGACATGTTACTTATATGAAGCTTGCACATGAAAGTGTTTGTGGTCCATATAAATACTTATGAAATGCTATTGATTATAGTAAATATAGTCTGGCACCCAAGAGCATACACTCAACCTCTGTTGGAGCAAGTATCTTACAATATCAAATAATAGGAATGTTTTTTCTAGCCAAAAGAAGAGCTTATACACAAGTTTGCTTGAAGCAGACATTGGATATGCTGAGAATCTGTTAATAGCACAACATCTGAAAATGACTCATAATTGTTTCCCACTGTGGTATTTAAATATATATAAGGTAGAAAATAGTCCTGAGACTTGTGTGCAGTTATCATTGGGTTAGTTAGATGTGATAATACATTCTTGTATTGTTTTTTATTTATTAATGTGTCCTAGTAAATCCATTGTATTATTTGAAGGACTTTATTGTGTAAGAACTTTTAATTACCTGAACTCATGGTAATTTTGGTAGTGCTTTATGGATCTTTTTGTACTTACGGTCAGCCAATCTGGACTTCCTGTTGGAATAAAAGTTAGGGAAAATCTATAATCTTATACATATTAGGAATAAGCCCTATTGAACTCCTGCATAAGATTAAACTGTAAAAAATATTTAATTCCTGCCTACCTCTTTCCATGGCTTGTAGCATTGGATAATGACTTTCATTCAGTCTTCCCAAATGATACTGTACAGCTTGCTTTCTCATCGCAATAGACAAGCATAGGTATTGAGCAAAATGAATGGTGGCAGTTGCCTTCTAAAGACTGCAGTTGGCCCTCCACATTTGCAGAGGTCAGCAATGTAGCACCCCTGCAAAAGTAGAAAAAACACATATATCTCAAGCCCCCCTCCACCTTAACTCCCTTGACTTATTCAGTTGACTGCACATGTGCTGGTAGCTGCATTACAATTACCTCTTTTGCAATTTGAATGAACTTAAGTTTAAAACAAGACCCAACATTTACTTTTGAAATTCAAGTTTTCTTTGAATGGCAAGCAGCTTTCTTGCATTGTGAGCTGTATAAATAGATACTAACATGTATCTCTTGTCTTTCAGTCCAGGGAGCAAATCAAAGAGAGGCTATGGAATGACCATTTTGCTGAGTATGGCAGAACTGTCTGTATGTTTCGCACAGACAAAATTAGGAAACTAGTTGCTATGGGAATCCCAGAATCTTTACGAGGCAAACTGTGGCTCCTTTTCTCAGGTGAGAACCCTGCCATATGACTGTTCTGAAATGTAGCTAGTTATTTTATTGTAGAAGGAAGTGTGCTGAACTCTTTCCCTTCCCTTCCCTTCCCTTCCCTTCCCTTCCCTTCCCTTCCCTTCCCTCTGTGATTTCGGAAGAGGAAGAGAAACGGACCACTTTTATGGCACAATTTCATATAAATTCAGCCATAAATGTGTCCCCTATAATGGGGCGAAAGTGGTGATTAAAACTTTTAAAATATCTAGAATAATAGTCTTCTCTTTTGCTTTTAAGATCTATGTTACATTTAAATTGTAGCCATTTCTCTCATAAAATATAAGGAAATGCTGTAATCGTACATAAAATACGTATGCATAGTGATCAAAGATATTTAGGGCACAGAAATTTCCCAGTATTCCCCAACCAGCCATGAGGATTGCATACGTAACATCAAAACAATAGTGTCTTTATCTCAGCTGGCATTGCTGAGATGTTATACTTGGCATAGACCACTGAAACAGAACTTCCTGTGTCATGTCCTTTGTTACAAGCTCAAAGTAAGACTGTTAACTAAGATAAGAGAGCCAGTGTGGTGTAGTGGCTAAGAGCTGGGACTGGGAGTCAGACGATCCGGGTTCTAGTCCCCATTCAGCCATGGACCCAACTGGGTGACTTTGGGCCAGTCACAGACTCTCAGCCCAACCTACCTCACAGGGTTGTTGTTGTGGGGATAAGATGGAGGAGGAGAATGATGTAAGCTGCCTTGAGCCCTTTGCAGGAAAAAGGCAGGATATAAATTGAAAAATAACTAACTATTCTAGAGTGTTGTCTGCCATTTCAACACACAACACTTGCATGATTAAGTCCTTCCATATGAAATTGATTTCCGGATAGAGAATTCTAAAGGGCTAGCCCATAAATAAGTTAGTATATTTTACAGTACAAAATTAATATTGAGATGGCATATTGAAGTATTTTCAGACTCAGTGAGGCATGCTGGACAATATTTCACCTTAGAAATATGCTACTGCATGTTTCAGGATAATTTTGGCTTAGGAATGGGCTTCCACAGGAGGTGTTGAAGCCCCATCAGTGAGGGTGTTCAAGGCTAGGCTGGACATGCTCATGGTAGGCATGTCATGAGTGGAGCTGGGGGTCAGACTAAATCGCCCAGGAGGCCCCTTCTGCCTCACTCTGTTTCTATGAATATGTTGAGTATCCATAAGTACAGAGAACTGCAACCTCACTGTAGATGAATTTTTTGGACATACTTTTTATTTATATATATATATATATATATATTTGTAACCTGTCTTCTGTTGTGCATTTGCCTCTGGTTCAGATGCTGTGACTGATTTATATTCCCATCCTGGTTACTATGAAAATTTGGTGGAAGTGTCCATGGGCATGTGTTGCATAGCAACAGAAGAAATAGAACGTGACTTACATCGCTCACTACCTGAGCATCCAGCCTTCCAGAGTGAAACAGGCATAGCTGCACTGAGAAGAGTACTGACTGCTTATGCACATAGAAATCCCAAAATTGGGTACTGCCAGGTAAAGATCTGTCAGGCCTTATGTCACTCTTGTTCAAGAATCCTAGACAGGGAGATACCGTACACGGGAGGTAATCTAAGGTGGGTTGATGTTTATTAGAAAAGGTGAGAGCTCCAGTTTGACCATCATTGGGCCACAAGAAAAAATGTCAGCTCACTCTCTTAAAATAAGAGCGATTTAAATTTACTCAATAGACTTTCTTCTATAGGAAGTTTGAAACTATGTTCATAGGTGATCAGTACAGAGAAATCCTAAGGATTCCTGCTTCTTTTACCAAATTAATTTCAGTTGAAAAACTTGCTGCTTTATCTTAGTAGGATGAAAATAGTTTTAGGATACAGGTACATAGTTTACTCAGGCTTCTGCTCTGTGAACAGAATGTGGAATGAGACCTTTCTGCCTCTATTCTTCTCTAGCCCCCTGCACCACCCAAAAATCAGCTCTGGAAGATTTAGAAATGCTTTGTAATTGTGGGGGATGTGGTGCAGAAGCCGCATATAGGAGGAAGGAGATGACAGAAATTTCACACCCCTTGCAGACACGGAAAAGCAGCTTAGGTCCACCCCAAGCTGTAGTGGGGGTGAGGGGCAATATTCTTCTGTTATTTTAATGTATATTGAATTTTGCAGAGCTAAATATTATTTATTACAAGTTGAAAGAGATGCTAGTTTGAGTTCAATAATTTTACAGCCTTTAATTTTTATGCAGAGTAATAAAATATCTTGATTATAAGATTTGCCTTTGTTGTTGTTTTAAATGTGACACTGCAGCTAAATTCTTTTGTCTTCCAGTCTATGAATATATTGACTTCTGTTTTGTTGCTGTATGCCAAAGAGGAAGAAGCTTTTTGGTTGCTTGTTGCTGTATGTGAGAAGATGCTTCCAGATTACTTTAATCACCGGGTGATAGGTAACAGTGTGCTCTCCTTACTGTGGGTGTCTTACTTCCTTGGGATTCAGCCCCAGTTTATTCAAATTGGCTGATGTACCTAGTTACACTTCTTGGCAATTGTTTCTATTAGTACTTAGTTTTATTGTGCTTTTAGACTGGTGTCAGCTTCAGCTCATCATATTTGATAGGTCACCAGTGTGTATTACATGCATCCCTCCTTTCTAAATGTGTGAAGCTTTGAAAAACCAGACATCTTCATATCGTGTGCCAGGCTAATATGAGAAGGCAAGGGAGGCTTGAATACTCAGAATAAGCTACCTCAGGATGTATATTCGTTAACAAGTCAGATTGTCTTTGCATTTTCTTCAGCTATGGATAGGATTAGATTGTAAATCTAAACAAATTATTAACCTCATAACTGTAATATGTAACCTACTTGCTGTGATTTTCAGGTGCTCAAGTAGATCAATCCGTCTTTGAAGAGTTAATCAAAGAACGGCTTCCAGAACTAGCTGAACATTTGAAAGATCTTTCCACGCTGGCATCCGTTTCCCTGTCATGGTTCCTCACTCTTTTTCTGAGTATCATGCCCCTAGAAAGTGCTGTTAATGTAGTCGACTGCTTCTTCTTTGACGGAATCAAAGCTATTTTCCAATTTGGCCTGGCTATTCTTGAAGCCAATGCTGTGGAATTGTGCAACAGCAAGGATGATGGCCATGCCTTGATGATCCTCAGCAGGTATTGTTCTGGCTCTTCTATGGTTAATCTCACTATACTAGCGACCCAAGCTGCTGGTTGAATTGCCTTGTTGCTGATTTAGTGGCAATATAGTGGCACAGAATGACAGAAAAGTACATGTGAAAGTTCAGTAACAAAGCATGTCTCACTGCTGTGCTCCTCAATACCTGTTTTCAACAAAAGCTCCTATCTTCCAAAGCCCTGGTAAGTGAGTACTATTCATAGACTGTTTGTGTTTCCCCAGGGCAGGTGCATCACAGGTCTCTTAAAGGAACGTACCCTTCTGGAAGTGACTTTCCTGATAAATAGCAAGCCTGAAAACAAGGTGGTTTCATACACACACTGAGAAGTTAAAGCAAGCACTCCTTGCTACTAGGGAAAGGAGAGTCCTGCAATATATAGCATGGCAGTGGTTAGTGGTATCAACATCCATCAGCAGAACATATTCCTTCCTGCACCGCAGCCCTTTTGATCAGCTCCATATAGTTGAGGGACCCACCGAAGTAGATTTCAGGGGTGCAGGAGAAAAGCAAAAGTTCCATTATTGTGCATGATATTATGCTTGCCTGGTTGATGCTTTCTGGTAGATTTAAATATAAATACATTTCTTTCAGGTATTTAGATCATGTAAAGAATGAGGAAAGCCCATTGCCACTGATTGGGAATCAGCATGCCTTTTTCAGTGAAGAAATGGAACCCTGTCCTATAACTGAAATAGCGGACCTAATTCGGGATTCTTATGAGGTAACTTTACATGCAACAGCTAACAAGTTTCTGATCCAAACTCAGGAGCACTCTTTTCCTTTGTTTGATTTAAAGAGTGACTTTCTCTGATTTGAGTAAGCTTGAAGCGGGCACAGTTACAGTGGACAGAGCATATGTTCTGGTTTAAACACTCTGGCTATATTCTGTATTGAAACAGATAGCTGAGGTGAGATGGCTCTCCTTCAGAATGAAGTAAATATCCATTTCTGTATTCTAGAAATTTGGAGACCATTCTGTGGAACAAATTGAGCACATGCGCTACAAGCACAGAATCCGTGTTCTGCAGAGCCACGAAGAGACTACTAAACAGAATGTGGTGAGGGTTCTCAAATGCCAGGATGTCTCATTTATTTCCAAACCATGTCAGACAAGTCCTATAACGTAGGCCTCTTGGATACCTGTAGATTTAAGCATATTAAAATGTATTCCTTGTTGAAGGAACAAAATGGGACAGCTTAAAATATAGAGCTGCTAAGTAAAATAGATGGCACAAATCTGCAGGAATTATCTCAGCTTTAGAGTTGCAGCAGGTGAGGAATTAAACCTCGTGAATCCTTCTGGTTCTACTTCTTCAACCTTTTCCCTCAAGTTTTCCAAATGGGAAGTTCCCACAGAAGTACAAGAAAAGGAAATCTTGAGCTGTGGGCTGGTTAGTTTTGAGGCTGAGCTTCTGACCATTTTGCTCCAGCTAGCAATGGAAACCTTACCAGAAGCTGAAAGGTAAGGGATGTTATCACATCTTAGAGCAGGTGTATTGCAGGATAATGCAAACACATTGTTATCTTTGGGGAGATAGAAGAAACTTGGTGTTCTTAGCTAGTATTGAGTGGACATGAGATGAATAGACATGAGATGACTTGACAGAAAATATTACAGCATAAGAATGTCAAGAAAATAAATTAAGGCAAAGGACAAGCAGAGTTGTGGAGGAGCATCTCCCTAATCTGAGCGTTGGCAGTTGCAAGTTGCCCTCAGGAGTGCTACTGCCAGTACTAATCCTACTTGGCTCTTAAACTCTTTCCTATTGTCTCTTAAGCTCAGAGTAGTCATCCCAGATGTTTCCATTGCTCCAGAAGACCTGGAAGAACTGTATGACTTGTTTAAGGTATGGACTGCTCTGAAATAGCCAGCTGTTTTCCAAGAAAATAATCTTGTACTGTCTAAATGTGTCTTGACACAAGTGTCTATTTAGAAATCGCCCATTATGTCCTTTTGTATTTTTTCCAGCTTTGGTAATTGTTTTGAGGATTCAGAGCAGGGCTTCTGGGTGCTCCGGCCTATAATTCTCATCTTTCTTTATCCTTTTCAGCGCTGAGGAGGACTAATATGCATTATGGGCCAAAACATCTAAAAGGCCATAGGTTGCCCATCCCAAATCTAAAGGAAAGTTTGCATTTCCAATTAAAAATGGACTTTTTCCATTCCAAAGTGTCTTGTACTTTTTAATGGCATGGGTTGCATTGCATGTTTTACCCTTCCAGAATTAAAGCACAAAGCTTACCTTTTTGAGAAAATTTCATGGCGAAGGCTAGGATTCAGTAACTATTGTTTATTGTAAAAAAGCATGACCCTGAAAAGGTCACACTGATGGTATGCAACTTTTTCCAGCATGCATTTGGATGCCTAAGGGAAGCCCAGAATCAGACATGAGGGGGACAGAATTCTGCTGTGGTTCCCGAACAGCTGGTATTCAGAGGCATGGTGCCAAGTCAAACCTCCTCTGAATAGACTCCACATTTTTGCGGTCTTGGCTTGGTTTGCAAGGTCTTTCACGCTAAGGAAGGTCTTGACCCTTCCTTAGCGTGAAAGCATGCATAAAAGAGTTACGCTGCATAGCCATTTCCCCCGTGTGTTCCAGTCACACCAGCCACTATATTAAAAGGATTGTACATGAATACTGATGTGCATGTATACAAAGGGGATCCTGGACCAGTCAGGATTACTCCTCACATGGGGAGGATGCTAGTTCTTTTAAAAAGGCCACTTAACATCTGGCCTGGGAAAGGTAGGGCCACTCAGTGTGGTGCTGTCTCCCTTTCTCAGGCCTGCTGTTAAAGTGTGAAGGAGTTCCAATGAGCGAACCTCCACAGTGTTCTGCGTTCTGCACACCTATTTAACATGCCCAGTATGTAATAAACAGTACCAGCAGTGTACAGCATTGGTATGATTGTCTGTTTGCATAGCAAAAGATGACTCCTGCGAGGTTGCACATCACAGTAAACACCCTAAAAATAAGTCCCCATGTGTGCATAGCTTGTCCCGTACACCATGCAGATGATTCCCTTTTCAGTGGTTTGCTGCAATTCATTTCTCCCTGCTTCTCTTGCAGTCCTGGCTGTTGCTGGAATGTATGCCAAGGGACCTTTGCAGCAAAAATGCTCATTCCCTATAACAGCAACCTTTCTGGAAGAATTGTTATTATTGATTATGATGATTATTTTTACATGTGTACCTACCTTTTTTCCTCCTACGAGGAACCCAAGGCAGCTTACGTATCTCCCTTGGCATTGCTATGCTGCAGTTGCTAGCTGACCTCCCTTGCCAGGTCACCCAAGAGATTTGAGTTTCTGAGCTCTTACGCTTCTGTTCTGAGTTTGAAAAGCCATTTTAGAAGTCTGGTGCGAGTGCACAGGACCACATCTTGCAGCTCAGCCCAGTATAGCTGTAACCCTGTGATTTCAGTAAATGTCATCTTCCACTTTCCTGCTTCCCAAGAGCAGCTCCCCCACCACATCAGTTCACAAAAAGGAAATAATTTTCTGAGCTCTTATGAAAGCAGGAACATTCCCAGTTGGGAAGCGTGTGGGGTGAGGGCCAGTTTGCAAGACTGCCTGTCTGCTGTTTAGTCAGTATGCCCGCTCCCTTTCTGATGAGTTTCATTCTCCACTTCCCTTCCCTTGCTAGCCAGTATCTTCCCCCCACCCCGCCCCCAGAGGCTGCTTCACTTCCCTGAAGTAAAAATACCTGCCTCTAAAACTCCTCCTCTCTTGCAGCTGCCAGCCATCTTTGGCTCCTCCCGTCCTCTTTGTGCTTGCTGCTTTCCTCCGGCACTGCTGGGCATGCATTCATGAGAGTTACAGAGCAGTGAGCGGGATTGCTGTATACGAGGGGCGTTCAATGTATTCTCGGTATCAGCATGAAGAAAAAGGAATGATAAATTGAAATAACTTGTATTTTTCAATGTAATCTCCCATAACTTCAATACACTTATTACATCTAGAAATTCACTTTTCAATTCCCTGTAAAAAATACACCTCCTCCTTGACTAAAAATATGTGTTAATTGCCGCCTTGAGCTCTTCATCGTCGGAAAATCGCTTTCCACGAAGCTCTTTGTTTAAATTCGGGAATAGGTAGTAGTCACTGGGGGCCAGGTCCGGGCTATAGGGTGGGTGGTTTATTTCTTCGAAACCACAGTCTCGCACAGCAGCCTTCGAAACACGCGCCGTGTGAATGGGCACATTGTCGTGAAGAAGCAACACACCTGCGGTCAGTTTTCCCCACCTTTTTTCTTTAATTGCTTCTCTTTAAATTACACAGAATGGTTGCGTAAGATGCTGCATTTATGGTTTCACCTTTTTTCGTGTACTCGATCAATAAAATTCCCTTTGAGTCCCAAAACACTGTGGCCATGATTTTTCTGGCCGATGGAGTGACTTTGAATTTCGGAGGGTCGGTACCTCTTTTATGCCACTGCATGGACTCCTGCCTACTTTCAGGGTCATAGTGATGAAGCCAAGCTTCATCTCCAGTAACAATCCACTCAAAAATACTCGATGGATCTTCCCCACAGAGCTCTAAAAACTCCCTACAGCACTCGACTCATGCTTGTTTCTGAGGCGCCATGAGCATTTGCGGCACCCATCTTGCACAGACCTTTGGAAGGTTAAGATGGTCATGAAAAATAGTAAATATGGTACCAACAGATAGGTTTGTCATCTCTGCTAACATTTTGATTTTACTTGGGCATCTTCCAATACAAGTTTCTCATTTTTTTTCACATTTTCTTTCATAGTGGCAGTAACCGGCCCGCCCGAGTGAGGGTCATCTTCAGTGCTTTCTCTGCCCCTTTTAAAGTCACTTGACCACTTTTGAACAGTAGATAATGAAGGTGCAGAGTCCTGGTAAACGGCCACCATCTCTTTGTGAATGATTTTTTGACTTGTTCCTTGTTTTGTAAGGAACTTAATCACAGCTCGGTGCTAGATTTTCTTCAACATTGTCACGTCAGTCATCATGGTTGTCTTTCACTGAGGATTACTAGGGAACTAATGATCACACTTATTTGAGATTTTGCATGTATACCCTCAGGTAGTGTCATTAGCTAATGAAATAATTAAATTGCCCACATCAATAGCAAATCAACCCGATACCGAGAATACATTTAACACCCATGCCAGTTTCAAGACAAATATGCTAAAGCA